GCTATACAAGTACAGTCCATTTACCATTTATCATTTAATCACACTGACTGGTTCTTACTCCCACTGACTGGTTCTTACTCACATTGACTGGTTCTTACTCACACTGACCGATTCTTACTCACACTGACGGGTTCTTACTCAAACTGACGGGTTCTTACTCAAGCTGGCAGTATACTGCATCAGAAATGCAGAAATTATGCTGAACTGTTTCATGACGAAATTTGCGTCATTTGGTTTACATTGTTGACATTTTCGACACTTCTTGTCGTGACCCGTAGGTCGAACTTTTTTACCCCTTTCCACATAAGAACACAAGAACTTTATTGTATGATTGGTCAGAAGTTCATGGGAGTGTTTGTGCTGAAAGCGCTCAGACGCTGCATTTTGCTTCAACCATTCGCTTACAAAAAGCGACTCGCTTCCAGAGCCGACTGTTGTGCCAGGAAGCAGCGATTTATAAAGATAGTCTAACGCAGTGGTTCTCAATCCTGGTCCTCAAGGACCCCTACCCTGCATGTTTTAGTTGTTTCCCTGCTTTGGCACACTTGAGTGTGAGTCAATGAGTGATTGGCAGGCTTCTGCCGAACTTACGACTTACTGCAGAGCAGGGAAACAACTAAAACATGCTGGATAGGGGTCCTTGAGGACCAGGATTGAGAACCATAAAAAGGGAATAAAAAAGATGGTTTTCACCGTGGAATCTGGATGATAGAAACTTTATAACTTAATCCAGAACCAGTTTGTGGATAAACTTCGAGTGGTCTCCAGTTTGTGGTCTTCAGCAGGACGAAATCCCATGCAGTGACGTATGCTGCAGCATGAGGGGTTTCTCAGGAACTCGGGGCGGGGTGTCTCATGAGCTATGAAAAGTGTGTGCGAAAACGAACGCTGAACAGCCACGTGACGGCAAGTTGTCCAGTCGGCTGCCGAGTGACTATACTGCCTGCTTCACACTGAAAGGTTCTTTCTCACACTATGTTCTTCTTTACACTGAGTGGGTACTTAGTCACACTGACCGGTTCTTACTCACACTGACTTGTTTTTACCAGYCGGTTCGGAAGTTATCATTCCATTAAATAAACATTATTAGCTGTGATCAGTCCCATAGAATGGCTTCAGACTGTCCTGACAGTGCCACCTCGTGGGTTACCAGTGCCATATACATTGGAACGCAACAATCTGCTACCACCGGAGTCTGGCCTACTTTATCGTAGCCCATGTCATTTTCTCTAAAATTAACCTTAGTGGTTTTATGTCTCATATTAACCAGATTGCATAAAAAAAACCTTAGTGGCTTTATGCCTCATGCCTCACCAGCTGACAGTCTGAAGCCATTCTATGGGACTGAAAACGACCAATAATGTCCATTTAATGGATGAAAACATCCAAAGTGGGTGTTTTTTCTCACACTGACATGTTCTTACTCATACTGACCGATTCTTACTCACACTGATGGGTACTTACTGTCATTGATAATCATATTCTGTATTAGAAAGTTCATCTCATGAGAGTTTGCTTTTTATGGTGATACCTGAAGAAGTGAGGAGTCAGAAGAAACTTGAAAAATAGTTTTATTTCTAAATAATGTCAAGGACTCCTCCAGAGGACCTACTCAACTTTTTTTTTACATTTTTGTCAACAAGTTAGCATATTCTTTATTAACTTTGAAGTTGTTTGTATTTTTGTATATATTGTCCATATGGTTGTTGTGTTTTCCAGGTTGTGCTACAACAGTTTTGGTGACGAGTGCCAGCACAGGAGAGATGATGCTGCAGCTGCTGGTTGGATCAGTAAGACATGTTTTGTCCTTCACAAACTTCTAACCCCACCACCATGCAGTCTAATTAAATAAAAGGCTTAGAATTTTTAATGGCTGAGTTTTAGACTAATTTTTTTCTGATACATGAAGTCCTAGCTTTTTTATTCTAACTTTAAGAAAAAAATTAGTGTTCTCTTAAGGTTGTGCTCAGAGTAAGTTTTTGAATCACTCTCAGCAACTACCAGATCAAGTTTATTTTTACATCTGTCAAATGAACTGAAGTGAAAGACATTTGTTTTCCAAAGGCACTTAGCAGTAATGGGAAGCTTGGGCGACTTCAAATGTTAATCAGTTTCTAGAGTTTGCTAAACAGCATATGGAAGATGTCATAGTAGAGCTTTTTTCAACATAGAAAATTTTGCCTGAGGATGGCCTGCTCCAGGTAGATTTACACATTGTCACATATTCCTTCTGTCTTGATTCTGGATTTAACAGAACTCATGGGATGTTGAACCTTAAAATTGTTTTATATCCTTGTACTTCTCAGTAATCTTTTCTCTGAGTTTAATTAAAACAGTCACTTTATAGATGGTTAATAATTATGCACTTGTTTATTTTACATTGCCTCTTTTTATTTAATTGGTATTATTTTGGGTGGCATGGTGAAGCAGTGGATAAGCTGGTATTAGCRTTGGAGTGTATCCAAGTGCTTTGGTTTCCTCCCACAGAACAAAACATTCATGTTAGTTTCACTGAAAACTTTAACTGTCCCTCAGTGTGGGTGAGAGGGTGAATGGTTACTTATATCTGTCCCTGTGATGGACTGAAGACCTGCCCAGGGGCCTCATTTATCAAAGAGTTTGCAGTTTTCACACTAATAGTCTGCGTATGGATGAATATGGAAAATTGTACACGCACAAAAATATAAAACAGATTACTGTGAAGCAGACARCTTTAATTACCACCTGAAATATCGGTATATGATATTATAAATTATAATTCCATGTAGAGAAGCCTAATTTAATACACTGTCAAAACCTGTAAATAGCCGCAACTTGATAGTTCTGGCTTCTCTCATAAATTGGCTAAACAGAAAAAAACACAGCCATCGACCAATAGACAAGGGCAAACACAGCTGCTAATTCAGGAGGTAGCTAAAGCTGTCTGCTTCACAGTTATGTGAATTATGTAGGCATATCATCTCAGGTGCTAACACCTGCATATCAATACTTCCACACTTTAACACAACGTTGGTTTGGATACATTGTGACGTGTGCGTGGAACCTGGCTATGCAGCTTTTTAATGCATTCACACCATTAATACATGAGGCCCCAGGTGAACCCTGTCTTTCACAGTGACTGCTGGAGATAGATTTTTATTATTATTTATCAAAAAGTCTAATATACATTGACCATGTTTGTTTGCTTGCTTGCTTGCTTGCTTTACAGCAATTAAAACATTAAAAATTCAAGAAGGAGAATACTTTTCAAAGGAACCGTATATTTTTGGGTCAAGACAGATTTTAGATTTAAAGTAATTAAAGTTAAAGCTGTTTGTTGCTTCCTGCAGGTGATCCACAGTCAGGGCAGTTACTCCTTCCTGCTGTGTTCTACAGTGACCTCCTGTATTGGCTTCTGCCTGTTCCTGCTGTTCCTTTACATCCATTGGATCCACAGAAACCATCCAAAAGGTGACATCACCCACAAACACACCACACTGCACCACACACACTACACTGCACCACGCTGGAGCTGTTTGCTTCAGAATGAGTCATTGTTACAGTATGTGTCTGCTAGTCAGGACCAAGATTAGGTTTTATATGATGTTAAATGTTTGATTTGGCCCATCCTCACTCACACCCATGTCTCTGCTGTCTCCTCTGTTCAGCTCCTTCCACCACTTCTTTGACTGTCTGCACAAGTTTTATTTGACACTTTTATCTTTTTTGTTGAAAAGCTGTTGTGATGACTGTATTTACTAACAGCCTGCTGTTCCTTTTTGTGGTGGGGATGGTGACAAGAAAAATACACAGTCTTGTACTCGTCATGTAATGTACATAGTTAATAACGTATCTAATGCCTCTGGCAGCTAGTTGGTTTGTGTTAAAATAAACATTTCGGTTAAATTGTAGCTGGGGTTTTTTTTTTCAAATTGTGTTTTTTGTGAATTTGGTCTAATATTTCATTTCAAGTGGCATTAAAGAGGTCTTAAAATGTCTTAAATTTAATTTGCCTTAAGCTGTAGCTACCCTCTGAGTCAGTAAGACATGTCATGAATTCCAAATCAGGCTTTTTTTTTACTTCGCCACAGTCTAGACTCATTCTTAGGCTGATGAACGGAGTGAGGTCGATGGGTGCCTGGTTTAGTTTAGTTGATGTAATGGATTTATGATTTTTATGTAGGGCTGGATCATGACATGGCTGAAAAGCCTATCACAATATAAGGGTTTCATAGTGGTCGTATTGATAATTATTGATTAGATTTAGATAACATCAGTCATACTCTTGTCAAACTTTTCCTCTTTTATCCACAATTTCCTCTGGAGCTGTTGCATCATTTTCTCCTTTCACTCCACTCTGTTTTTTTATTATTATTATTTTTTTTTAAAGCAGTTCTGAGGCGAAACATGAAACTGCTACTGCACGTTACTCAGGGGTGGTTCTAGGGGYGGGGCCACGGGGGCATTGGCCCCAGCTGAAATCTGATTGGCCCCCTGAAGTGCCCTTGTCCTGTCACTCATCTGTCCTTTACCTGGGAGTGATGATGGGGGATGCAGTTCCATGTTCAACCACTAGTTGCACTATGAGTCAAATAGTAAAGTCCAGAATGAATCAAGCTTACAGAATTCTTCTTCTCTTCTTAAGAAAATTCAAACAATCCTGCAGAAAAGAAAAACTCTTTCAACTGACAAATGATGGCCTGGATTTTCTCACGTGTTGTGTGTTTGAAAATATTTTATCTATGTACAGTAAAATGTATGAAAAACTGGTAAGGAGAATTTACTGTACAAGCTTTTTTTGCACCACTTTACAATAAGGCTCCCCTTATAGATGCTTATAAAGAGTTTATAGATAGGTTATTAATTCATCTGTATATCTGTCACTTTATAAATCATTGCTAAATGTTTATTATGCAATAATTAAGGACGAGAAAAAGACAAATCTGTGTATTAAACATTTCAGACTAGTTTACCCTGTAAGCACAATTTTGATTAGGAAACACATATTTTAACATATAATATTGTACTGTATGTTATGGAAATATTTATTTAACAAAGACAGAAATACTTGGTCCAAGAATGAAGGTACTCCATGGAATGATCAGCTGAGTTTTATTTGCAACAACAGGAACACAGAGAACAACATATCAGACTTTACCCCTACTCCCTGCTCCTGCTTCCCTTTGAGACAGTTGAGGCCTCATATATACTGTTTAACAAACACTATTATGTCGTCTTAATAAAGCAAGATTTCATCCTAAGGAAATGCTGGGTCGAGGGAAAACATAAAGATAAACACAAGTGATATCTAAGAATGATTGTTGTTAGCAAATCTTGTTCTGGCTATAATCACTGATGAACAGGGTGTCATGACAAACTGAGTCATTAAAGTATTCAATTCAGTTCAGTTCAATTCAAAAATACTTTATTGATCCCAGAGGGAAATTAGGTGTTGTTGTAACTAATTTAACTAAAAACTTATTGCAGATGCTGATTCCTGTGGGCAGGAAAGATCTTCTGTAGCAGTCTGTATTACAGCGAAGTTGAAGAAGCCTCCGACTGAAGACACTTTGTCTTTCTATGACAGTCTGATGAAGAGGATGGTCAGGGTTGTCCACAATGTTCTTGATTTTATGTAAAATCCTTCTTTGCACCATCATCTCCAGAGATTCCACAGTCGAACAGAACCAGCCTTCTTTATCAGGTTGTTTAGCCTTTTTAGGTCCCTGGCTCTGATGCTGCTGCCCCAACAGATGATGACAGAAGAGATGACACTGTCAACAATAGACTTGTAGAAGATCTGCAGCATCTTGCTGCAGACATTGAAGGATCTTAGCTTCCTTAAGAAGTACAGTCTGCTCTGTCCTTTCTTGTAGACTGCTTCACTGTTGAGTCTCCAGTCCAGTCTGTTGTCCAGATGAACACCGAGGTATTTATATTCCTCAACCACCTCCACTTCTTCTCCCATGATGGAAAAAGGGTTTGATCTAATACTATTAGTCCTGAAATCTACAATCATCTCCTTTGTTTTGTTGACATTCAAGATGAGATGATTGTTCCCACATCATGCCACAAAGCGGTCCACCAGCTCTCTGTACTCAGCTTCCTGTCCATCTCTGATACWBHYAACAACTGCAGAGTCATCTGAGTATTTCTGTAGATGACAGCAGTCTGACTTGTGCTGGAAGTCTGAAGTGTAMAGTGTGAACAGGAATGGTGAGAGTACAGTTCCCTGTGGTGCTCCTGTGCTGCTGATCACATGGTTAGACACACAGTCCTTCAGTCTCACAAACTGTGGTCTGTTTGTCAGGTAGTTTTTGATCCAGGTGATTGTTGAGGCCTCCACCGGAGTCTTCTGGAGTTTCAGACAAAGCAACTCAGGCTGAATTGTGTT